TTTATTTAATTCCAATTTGAGATTTTATCATTGCCTTCTATATTTTGTACTTATATTGAAGTTTTTATGTTTGCTTCTGAACTGTATATATGTTGTTTAAATTTGATTAATATGGCTACCGCCACATTTTTGGATGTATGAGTATAGGAGTCTGACTCGGATTGATATCGTCCAACATACGTCTATTGGAATCGAATTGAACTGCCACGATAGAAATCCAATTACAAGTTCTTCGATGTTGGTCGAATGCTTTGCTCCTGCGCTTCTCAAGTTTCAGCTTACCTGATGATATGATGTTGGGTGATGTGCTCATAGTGTTCGCCATACACCTCACAGCGCGTTTTCCTAATTTCCTACTCAACTGCATTCTCCATTCTAAGCCTTCCGAACACCATAAACAAAATCCAATAGAAAAAACAACACACATTCATTCGTTTGCTTGTTACATTCACTGAAATCGACACCTCACATCACAAATCTTCAGTCAGATTACGCTTACAACAACTACTGCTGCCAAACATACTGCAACCACATTCCACTTGCTGACATTCATCTTGATTAGTTTGCCATAGTGAATTCCAATGGTGGATTGAGACGCAACATCATGCATGAAGGAGAGCACACAGACCCGTCACAAATGAACACTGCAGTCAGAAGATCTGGCTCAAACCCTCTATTTTTTCAAAGGAAGTGTCAGAGCCTACGCTTATGTACATACTCCTCTCAATATCACAGCAACACTGACAAACTCACTCAGTATTTGTTTGCTGTGTAGAAATAAAAGTTTACATATTTTCACACAACAAACATTCTCAAAATTATTTTTATCGTGAGTTCAATGTTATGTTGAAATAAGGTCAATTACTGCAATATTAACAAGTAGAGAAAAACAATCTTTTCACAAAATGTTAGTCAACATTGTAGTAGTCAATAGTTACGGTTTTCATGAAGGTAACTCTTCTTGTGCATCGTACTCCTTCCTACATTGAGTAGTCATAGTTAGTCAGTCAGTCGTATTTCAATATATGCTTGTCTTCTGATCATCATTTGTCGCATTCCGTCAAACATCAAATTGCAAAACAACTTTCAATTTGTATTGAAAATCACATCAGAACAGTCAATAATTTCTTCTCCTTCTATTTCCCTATAATGATTATCGTGATCAATATGACGTGAATATTTGTGCTTTCTTCATGAAAACATTGGGTGCATATCTATCTACATTCAAGAATAACAGTTGCCTACTCACATCACTACTCACTTATCAACGTCTGTTACTTCTAACGAGTCGTATGCCGCATATCAGCATTCTCCAACTTCACTGTGCTCAGCCTTCATTTCATGTTCAACGAAATTGCTGTTTATTAGTTTCGCGTCTGCCTTCCATTCTCGTCATAAAGTGTTCTTCGATGTTGGTCGAATGCTTTGCTCTTGCGCTTCTCAAGTTTCAGCTTACCTGATGATATGATGTTGGGTGATTTGCTCACAGTGTTCGCCATACACCTCACAGCGCGTTTTCCTAATTTCTTAATCAACTGCATTTTCCATTCTAAGCCTTCCGAACACCATAAACAAAATCCAATAACAGAAACAACACACATTCATTCGTTTGCTTGTTACAATAACTGAAATCGACACCTCACATCACAAATCTTCAGTCAGATTACGCTTACAACAACTACTGCTGCCAAACATACTGCAACCACATTCCACTTGCTGACATTTATCTTGATTAGTTTGCCATAGTGAATTCCAATGGTGGATTGAGCCGCAACACCATGCATGAAGGAGAGCACACAGACCCGTCACAAATGAAGACCGCAGTCAGAAGAGCTGGCTCAAACCCTCTATTTTTTCAACGGAAGTGTCAAAGCCTACGCTTATGTACATACTCCTCTCAATATCACAGCAACATTGACAAACTCACTCAGTATTTGCTTTCTGTGTAGAAATAAAAGTTTACATATTTTCACACAACAAACATTCTCAAAATTATTTTTATCGTGAGTTCAATGTTATGTTGAAATAAGGTCAATTACTGCAATATTAACAAGTAGAGAAAAACAATCTTTTCACAAAATGTTAGTCAACATTGTAATATTCACTAGTTACGGTTTTCATGAAGGTAACTCTTCTTGTTCATCGCACTCCTTCCTACATTGAGTAGTCATAGTTAGTCAGTCAGTCGTATTTCAATATTTGCTTGTCTTCTAATTATCATTTGTCGCATTACCTCAAACATCAAATTGCAAAACAACTTTCAATTTGTATTGAAAATTACATCAGAACAGTCAATAATTTCTTCTCCTTCTATTTCCCTATAATGATTATGGTGATTATTATGACGTGAATATTTGTGCTTTCTTCATGAAAACATTGGGTGCATATCTATCTACATTCAAGAATAACAGTCGCCTACTCACATCACTACTCACTTATCAACGTCTGTTACTTCTAACGAATCGTATGCCGCATATCAGCATTCTCCAACTTCACTGTGCTCAGCCTTCATTTCATGTTCAACAAAATTGCTGTTTATTAGTTTCGCGTCTGCCTTCCATTCTCGTCATAAAGTGTTCTTCGATGTTGGTCGAATGCTTCGCTCTTGCGCTTCTCAAGTTTCAGCTTACCTGATGATATGATGTTGGGTGATTTGCTCACAGTGTTCGCCATACACCTCACAGCGCGTTTTCCTAATTTCTTAATCAACTGCATTTTCCATTCTAAGCCTTCCGAACACCATAAACAAAATCCAATAGAAAAAACAACACACATTCATTCGTTTGCTTGTTACATTCACTGAAATCGACAGCTCACATCACAAATCTTCAGTCAGATTACGCTTACAACAACTACTGCTGCCAAACATACTGCAACCACATTCCACTTGCTGACATTTATCTTGATTAGTTTGCCATAGTGAATTCCAATGGTGGATTGAGCCGCAACACCATGCATGAAGGAGAGCACACAGACACGTCACAAATGAATACTGCAGTCAGAAGAGCTGGCTCAAACCCTCTATTTTTTCAACGGAAGTGTCAAAGCCTACGCTTATGTACATACTCCTCTCAATATCACAGCAACATTGACAAACTCACTCAGTATTTGCTTTCTGTGTAGAAATAAAAGTTTACATATTTTCACACAACAAACATTCTCAAAATTATTTTTATCGTGAGTTCAATGTTATGTTGAAATAAGGTCAATTATTTCAATAATAACAAGTAGCGAAAAACAATCTTTTCACAAAATGTTAGTCAACATTGTAATATTCACTAGTTACGGTTTTCATGAAGGTAACTCTTCTTGTGCATCGCACTCCTTCCTACATTGAGTAGTCATAGTTAGTCAGTCAGTCGTATTTCAATATTTGCTTATCTTCTAATTATCATTTGTCGCATTACCTCAAACATCAAATTGCAAAACAACTTTGAATTTGTATTGAAAATTACATCAGAACAGTCAATAATTTCTTCTCCTTCTATTTCCCTATAATGATTATGGTGATTATTATGACGTGAATATTTGTGCTTTCTACATGAAAACACTGGTTGCATATCTATCTACATTCAAGAATAACAGTCGCCTACTCACATCACTACTCACTTATCAACGTCCGTTACTTCTAACGAATCCTATGCCGCATATCAGCATTCTCCAACTTCACTGTGCTCAGCCTTCATTTCATGTTCAACAAAATTGCTGTTTATTAGTTTCGCGTCTGCCTTCCATTCTCGTCATAATGTGTTCTTCGATGTTCTCCGAATGCTTCGCTCTTGCGCTTCTCAAATTTCAGCTTACCTGATGATATGATGTTGGGTGATCTGCTCATAGTTTTCGCCATACACCTCACAGCGCTGTTTCCAAATTTCTTACTCAGCTGCATTTTCCATTCTAAGCCTTCCGAACACCATAAACAAAATCCGATAGAAAAAACAACACACATTCATTCGTTTGCTTGTTACATTAACTGAAATCGACACCTCACATCACAAATCTTCAGTCAGATTACGCTTACAACAACTACTGCTGCCAAACATACTGCAACCACATTACGTTTGCTGACATTTATCTCGATTAGTTTAGAATGGTGAATTCCAATGACGGATTAAACCTTCTTGGTTTATTCACAAAGATACCTTACGAAAATATAGATCATTATATCATTGCTGTTTATTTTAAGGTGGGAACTAAACTACCAAGCTCAACCGTCTTCCCATTTTCGGGAACATGGAATGCAATTTTAAGGCACAATACAAGCAAGGTAGGGGTATCTCACGTCATCACCACTCCTCCTATTTTTGTTAGTGTGCGCTCCTTGAGTGGACGTGCATTTTGATAGCCGTTCGCCGCTGTCTGAGAGGATACCTTCTGAAACGGAAAACAGCTTGTTGCTGAGTTTCTTCTCGTGGTTGCGCTCCCAGTAAGTTTAAGGTATCAAGCAGGATGTCAAGGAGATTCGCTGATGTTGCTAGGCGCTCTGGGACCAGCCGTTTGAGTATCTGATCTCGATGTCGTGACTATTGATCACCTCCTACGTATACTTCGTACATAACTCGCCCAACTCTTCTTTCCACTCACGCTTCTGTCCAAGATCCATGGTTTGTTCTGTATACACGAGCAAACACAGGGCATCCTTGGTCACACAATCGATTGCGCGTAGTGTGGTGGCGAGCATAAGTTTTTAAAGGCTAGCCGTTGACAGATAGTTTGGAATCGGGAAGAAGTAAACTGAGAGCCATTTTCAGATACGATCATATGTGGCATGCCATTTCAGTGAGGAGCTGTATTGTCTCAATTGTCATAAGCGGCAATTTCATATTAATAGACTATCTTGATATGTCGATTACATCCAAAAATGATTGATCGATTAACAAGTTACCTTTTCTAATTTTCATCTAAAACTGTAGGCTTTATTTCAAAAATGTTAGAAAGTTATCAAAAAAATATTGACTGACATACACAGACAGTGAATCATAAAAATTCTGTTTTTATTTCAAAAATGTTGTATTATAAAAAAAGCAATCTTTCAGGACATCATAAATGTCTGTACACTTCGGCGTTTTTACAAACAAACAACGCCATACAACGTGGTGATAAATCTGGATCAAAAATACGTATATAACCAGAATATTGATAAGGATCCACTACATCACTAGTTGCATTCACGTTGCCACATTCTCTAAGACACCATAAACGATCAAACAGTACAAGTGTTTCCAGTAATGGTTGAAACAATTGCTGTATAGCTAATAGTCCTGGTATTAAATTCCATATCTGTTCAAAGTAATCACGATACTCCGTGAAACAAGGATCGTTATTGATGATTCGATCGGATCGCACAATATCTACCAGGGATTTTTGCCAGTAATTGATTATATGTGGATACACATCATTAAAATGTAGTGACCAATTCTGATCACTTTTATCATTGTCATGATATTTGGTAGCTAATAATTTCTTTATCATATCACAATGTATCACTGGATCAAGACGTTTATATCGTTCAAATGCTGTAGACAAGTTGTCATACTTGATAAATATAAAATCTAAAATTATCCGGGCCAATACACGTATACGATGTTTACTAGCATCGATTTCTGTCCATTTGAACCATGTTAAAGGTGAATGTTGACAGGCTAAACGTAGTGTAGCTGGTGAAATACATTTATCAATAAAGTTTATATCACATTTTAGCATAGCTTCACGTAAGTAATTACTAGTAGGGAACTATATCAATTAGAGGAGAAAAACAAAAGGTACATTAAACAATCAAATTAAAAGTATAAATAAAAATTGATATTATTCTAATTTACTGACATATTTTACGAGTTCACCATACTCGGATACGGAGCAAAGATCAATGATACAGTGACACGATATGATATTGTATTTCGATTGTTCCCGGCCCACAGCCAACTAGAGCAAGTAGTTTTGATAAGGCGAAGTGAATGTATTCAACAGGCACTCGTAAACGTTTAGTTTGCTTAGCACACAAATCAAGTTTGGTGATGGAATGATAGCAACGCCCCTGGTGAGGTCATAAAATCGCGTACTAAAATAATCCATCAAACAATGACAGTCAAAGATTTCTCGAGTAGCAAATTTATGATGAATGGAACTCACCACTGTACATCAACTTCATCGACTACGAGAAAGCATTCGATAGCGTGGATGGGAAAACATTGTGGAGGCCTCTTTGCCTGAGAAAATAGTTAACATCATACGGAATTCTTATGATGGATTCAAATGCAAAATCGTGCACGGAGGACAGCTAACAGACTTTTTCGAGGTGAAGACCGGTGTCAGACAAGGTTGCTTACTCTCACCCTTTCTCTTTCTCCCGGTCATCGACTGGATTATGAAGACGTCGACATATGGAGGGATGCACGGTATCAACTGGACAGTTGGGACACAACTGGACGATCTGGACTTTGCAGATGACCTGACTCTTCTATCGCGCATGCAACAACAAATGCAAGAGAAGATGATCAGTGTGGCAGCAGCCTCTGAAGCAGTAGGTCTCAACACACATAAAGGAAAAAGCAAAATTCTCCGATGCAACACAACATGCACCAACCAAATCGCTGTTGATGGAGATGCTTTGGAGGACGTTAACAACTTTACATATCTGGGCAGCATCATCGACAATCAAGGTGCAGATGTGAGGGCGCGGATCGGCAAAGCAAGGGCTGCATTTCTACAGTTGAAAAATATCTGCAACTCTAAACAACTTTCAACCAAAACCAAAATCAGGATTTTCAATACAAATGTCAAGACAGTTCTACTGTATGAAGCAGAAACTTGGAGAACTACGAAAGCCATCATCCATAAGATATAAGTGTTTGTTAACAGTTGTCTATGCAAAATACTGCGGATTCGTTGGCCAGACACACCATCAGCAACAACGTACTGTGTGAGAGAACAAACCAGATCCCAGTGGATGAGGAAATCAGGAAGAAGCAGTGGAAGTGGATAGGATATCCACTACGAAAAGCACCTAACTGCGTCACGAGACAAGCCCTCACATGGAACCCTCAAGGCAAAAGGAAAAGAGGAAGGCCAAAGAATACATTTCGCCGAGAAATAGAGCAAGATATGAGAGGAATGAACAAACATTGGACAGAACTGGAGAAGGAAGCCCAGGACAGAGTTGGTTGGAGAAAACTGGTGGGCGTCCTATGCTCCTCTATTGGGGGTAACAGGCGTAAATAAGTAAGTAAGTAAATGTAAGCTGAAAGTCAACTAAGCGTCTCTGAGAGAAAACATGGAAGTTCAAAATGTTCAGAATAATAATACAGAATTAGCACCTTTCCAAGTTAGTTCTGGCTGATCTAACGACCCAAAAGACTATTAATGATTGACTCACCATTTGGATTTCTTTCTTAATGATTTGTCAAGTATACGCGCCTCTAGATATATTCTTATATACGTATTTCATTGATAAAAGAAATAACACTAACTTGCTGCTTAAAGTTAACACAATGATTCAGGCTTTCAAGCTGCACAATGACACATTCAAGTCATAAACAAGAAAGCAACACTACAAATAATTAGGAGTGTTTACAAATGAGGGTTGAAGTTTTTTTATTGTTCTGAATGAAAACGCATTATTAATGCCAACCCTTAACTTTGGTAAGAGAAGTCAGAACTGTCAAGTATCACAGATAGTAAATTAGGTTTAAACTAGCGTATTAACAACCAATAACTTGGAATATAAGCTGTTTCATGATATATATCTACTGTATCACGGACGACATCAGTCTTACTTTCTAAATCTATGTTGAAACTCATCAGTATTACAGCTTTTCAAGAAAAGAAAATACCGAGCATCTTTCAGAAAATTAGACACCAATGTTGAATAGCAGAGTAAATGTCCCTGAATAGATTGAAGTTGGATCATATAAACGGCTTCATAACAATCATAGTGTCTCAACATAGTAATCATATCTAAAGAACTAAATATTTTCAGTTTTATACCTGGTATAATTGTATATTTTAGAACTTTAACAAAATGATCCCTTGATTCGCTTTTTGACTCCCATCATACCTTATCAATATCTACACAAACTTTGTAATATTCACAATATATATGATAGTTAACTTTTAACTATGTTAAAGTGTTTCGATAGAATAACAGCGTCAAATAACAAAACACAATGCAAAAACAATACTCTGTATTATTTTCAACGATTCCTATTATAATAATTGATTGAGAAATACATTTACTCACCTTTTCTATGGTAATTTTATGATAACAACATCCAATTATTAATAGACATTGTGCTAAACAATCTTGTTGAAATAATTCAATAATTGATAAACTTAAATCTCCACAACAATGTAAGCCAATTAATAGATAATTAGAACTAGAAATGAATTGTTGGAGTCTGAAATAGCAAAAAATTAAATACAATCTGCATACATACCTACATATACATATTTATATATTTAATGAAAGTTTATGAATTTCAGTTAAAGTTCATTGAGATTTTATTGTAAATGTAAATGTTTATAGATTGATACAAAATAGACCCTTTTTTCTCCTTTTCTGATCTGTAGATGCAGTCAAGAGTAAGGAGCGTTCCCTCACTCTTTTAAACACTTATCGTATAGTTACACGTGTATAGTCATTCTTTAGGATGCCTTACTAACTGCCGTTAATTGTTGTTAACATCATTAGGAGGATGGAAACAGAGTGTCCAGTCGAAGCTTAAATCAAATTTACGGGTACGGAGGAATGACAAGAAGGAGTTGAGAAGCGTTGAGTCGAAATAGGTGGTGTACATGCACTTCATCACCCTGAAGTAACTAATGATATTTGAACCAATACTTGAACTCCAGCTACCATGAAATCGTATCTTCTGACGTTACTCAACTGCCTTGTGCATTTAGACTATCGGTCAAGGGTTCGGAGAGCAGCCATACTGGAAAGAAATAATTGCTTTGGTTTGGGTACAAACGTTATATTGTGGTGCGCGCTACTTATAAGTAGTATATGACGCGAGTAAAAACGTCATGTCTGGCAGCAGATGATCAGAGGGAAGATCAAGAAACGAAGAGTGGGAACACAATGGAATTTGTATGAGACGCATGAATAGTGAAATGTCAGACAATGGATTGATGATGGATTGAAGATTTGCAAATTAACCGTTTACGATATGGTTTTCCTATTTTACTGAGTAACTCTGTAATTTTCGTTAAATACAATTCGGTTGCCTTCACCGGTGTTCTCCTTCACTACATTTGGTGTCGCTGCCTGCACGAAGGAAGGAGCTCCCGTGGCCGAAAAAGTTTGGGGACGGAGATTTGCGGAGCTTCCTGGAGTAGTTTGGGGCCATGGTGCGGCTGTTAGGTGTGAAGGGGCCCGTGGGGGAATCGGTGGTGCTTGGGACGCTGCGGGAAGGTGAGGCAAAGGCTGTATACGACAGCCCGGACGGTGCCGCCGAGAAGACGGCGTGGCAGATGGACACGGAGCGAATAGTGACGGAGTTCGTCGGCCTAGTGGACAGGGAGGAGGCGCCACAGAAGCTCCAGTTGGCGAGGTTGTCTGTCGATTGTGACCCACTGATACTGGCTGTGGAGCTCACGATGTTGCTGCGCCGTGCGCTGCCGTTTATGGATGGGGAGTCGGGGGCACAGTTCTTGGCGTCGCAATTTATCGAGAGTGTGCCTGCCGCCGTGTCCCAGCAGCAGGAACTAGTAAACGCTACACGTTGGATAGATGCCGTATCCACTCCAGACCAGCGGGCAAGAACAATGACCGAAGTGGTAAGCCGGCATATTGTAGCGTGTCACGGAATATGGAAGGTGATATTAACTGACCAGGGTCCCTGTTTTGCAAGTGACGAGTTTAAAGCCCGTCTAAAACAGTTTGGCATCAAGAGGATACGAACTACACCGTATCATCCGCATATAAACGGGTTTACAGAGAGAAACAGCCGGACGTTAAAGGAATGGTTAGCATCTAAAGGAGGGGGATTGGGAGAAAGAGTTACCATGAAATTTGCTGATCCCAAAGTGTGAAGGACCGTACGTTATCACGGAGAGACGCAGCGCGGTTTACACGATCCGGAGAGAAGACAAGTTGAAGCGCGTAAATGCTAGTCAACTTCAGAGATGGTTTCAAGAGTGGGAACACAATGGAATTTGTGTATGAAACGCATGAATTGTGAAATGTCAGACAATCGATTGATGATGGATTGCAGATTTGCAAATTAACAGTTTACGATATGGTTTTCCTATTTTACTGAGTAACTCTGTAATTTTCGTTAAATACAATTCGGTTGCCTTCACCTGTGTTTTTCTTCACTACAACATCCTAGTAAACTCTGAAATTAGATAAACTCAAAATGACTCACAATTTCAACAGGAAGGAGAGTAGTTTGTAAAGTAAAAGATAAATTATAATTATAATCACTGAAGGAATCACACTACCACAACACCTTACCGAAGATCGAACAGAGAAGAAAAGCTACACTATGGAATGAATTTTGACCCTGAATGGATCATTCAAGAATATATACACACATATATGGTGGCCGATGCCTCACTAGTTTCCTGGCCGTCAGCATACAATATGTTCTAAGACTTTGTATGCCGCTCTTGCAAACAACTATTACTAAATAAAGGCTTAAGGTTTATAAATCAGAGGAGGAATACGAAGTATTGAATAAGTTTCTTTGGTAGACCAATAAATAGGCCACAAAAAACCACAGGCACAGAAAGCGACATTCAATAAGTCAGTGCCAAAAGTCAGATAAGCAAATAATGAGCAAGTTATCGAATGGATGAATAAGATTGAAATGCACATATATATATAGATAGGAAAATGAATGAGTCATTGAAATAGGATGAATACGTACGTAGGCGGTAAGCAATATTCAGTCATACTGTTAAAAAATACTCGAAAATAACCTAAGCCAATGATACATATATTCAAGTTTTCACCATACAAATGACTCATCTAAAGAAGCTAATCAAAAGGCTTAATCCAAAATAAATATGAACTAACTCAAATGTATGTGAATGTACTACACACACTTTTAAAAAATGTCTAATATCTCAATGACAAATTTGGCATATATAAATCCTAGGCTGACAGCCTTGATATTAGCTTTAGGTTGAAATCATTCACAGAGAATATGTACAATGGCCTCAATTACAATTAAGGACATGGGTCACATCAAATAAGTACTTTTCAACTGCATGTACCAGCTTTATGCAAGAGGTAATATTCACTCTGAGACTGAAACTCAGCAGTACCTTACGCTCTAAACACCATCACTATATCTACTTAGCAGCTTAGTTCTTTTTATGAGATTAGTCAGTTATAACGTACCAAGACAATGAATGCTAGTGTTCACAAGATGCCACCAACTGGTCAACCTCTATAACAATGTATGCATTCCCAGTGAATTACTTCAATATTCCTAAATCAACTAGACAACTTAGTAAATAATCTGATAGTATTTCAAGAGAAAAAGTACAAAAAGTCAAATTATTAACGATATCACCAAAATACTACTTAATTCTTTTTAAGTAGCTAAACTAGAAAAACAATAAATACAATTTGCACAAACTATTTATTCATCAACCATAAATCAATCAACCAACCAACCAACCAACTAACTAACTAACCTTGTTTGTAATAATTGTAAATTAGTTGATTCAACATGAAATAATATACGTTTCACAATTGAACTCAATGATTTCACTTGAAACATTGAATTGTATTGTGATAAATTTGTTAAAGCTTTTGAATGTAAACTTAAATCACATTCAATAGATATAATTTGAGGTGTAATCAATGGATGATTATCACAATCAGTGGTTAATATTAAACGATAACCAAGATAATTTGATAAATAGCCTAAACCAGCACCGATATCAACAATTTTCAATGGAATAGCTGATTTACAATCTATAAGTGAAAAAAAATTTTTAAAAAAGAGAAATTCGCATAATTTCAAGGTACACTCACTAACTGTTAGTGCGACATAGATGGAATTAAAGCATGATTACGTTGCTGCGCGCTGATTGGCTAATTTCCTATCCAATCAGCGCCTGATCGAATAATTGGAGAACAAGGTAGAAGATTCTCGTATTGTTAGCTGCATGCTGATTGGTTAAATCTAATCCAGTCAATCATGTGAATTTCTATCCAGAAGCTTCTTTGCATGCTATAAATAGACTAACGTTGTACCTATTTTTTGCCTTCTTGCCTTCGCCTTCACCAATCACCTTTGGCTTCTTATTTTCCATTTAACCTTGCTGTTTGAAATATAATCTTTTACTGTTCAACCGTGTTTTTTGATTCTTGGGAACTTGTATTGTGGTTAGAGAATACTAAGAAATAGGAATTAGCCGGGAATTTTCTAATCAGGCATTACAACATTAACCATCTCTATAATCATTTAATGCGAAATTAATAGTGGTATTATTCAATGAAATCAGTAACTGATTGATATTTGAACATCATTTGAAACCTGAAAGGATTGGGTAGTTGAATCAAACCAAAAAAGGCACTGCTGATGAATCCCATCAACGTCGGACTGATTTAACTGAAATAATGATAAGAAATGAAGTAGTTGAGTGTGTTGATCACTTCACCTACCTCGGGAGTTTCATCAGAGCTGATGGTCTAGTGACTGACGAAATCTCAGTACAGATACATACAGAAAGCTCGATTAGCTTTTGCCGATTCGCGTCACCTTTGGCGAAGGCGAGATATCCGTTTGCTGACTAAAGGAGGGGTGTACTGCGCAACAGTTCGTTCTGTCCAACTATAGGGATGCGAAACATGGCCGTTAACAGTAGAGGATATTCATAGGCTATTAGTATCCGATTACAAATGTCTTCGAAGCATTGCTCGCATACCCTAAGGCAACCGAGTAAGCAATGACATTGTTAGGAAACGAGTATTAGGTAGGGATGGCAGGTCAATTGATAAAGTAGAAAGGCTCCATCAGTTGAGGTGGTTGGGACAGGTATTACGTATGCCCAAACCGACTGCCTCATCAAGCTATATTTTTTGGTGTAGGAGTAGGTTGGAAGAAGGCTACGAGACGCCAAAACAAAAGATGGCACAAATCCATGAAGTCACTGACAACTAGACTGAGTCATGCTGGCAGATGTAGTCTACCTGGTTTGGGTCCGCTAAACGAAAGTCACCGACGGTTCGAGACCTTGAATGACGTGGCTCAAAATTGTCTGAAATGGCACTGGTGTATCTACTCTATTTGTTCTCTCAAATTCTAATCTTCAGAATTCCTCATCATTTCTAGCTTTCTCTTTCAAAATTAGTCTCACGGAATTAAACGTCTCAAATCATATCTTCGAACCATAATCTTCTCCATTACTGTTAATACTTCTACTATCGCTACCACTATTGCATTTGAACTGACGGTGGCGTCTCTGTGCTGATGTGGTATGGCGACATGAACTTATGCATTGTTTAGTGTCTCCAAGTTTTAAATACTGATCTAACATTGATTAAGTCACAATTTAAACAAAACTCAACAATCTTTACTGACTAAAAATTATAATTGTTGTTTTAGTTAAGTATGTGGACAATTAAACTAAATTTTTCATCAAAAAAAACACAGTTCCACTAACCTTTCACAACAATATTATGCATTGATTCTTTACTGATCAAGGGGACATTTTGAAAATGATTCACAATATGTTCATTGTTCAATAGAAATTCATTTGAGTTGAATATTTCATTTGATGATGAACTACTACTACTATCAAGTAGTTGATGATTATCATTCACAGCTGATAATAGGATTGTTTGAATCAATGTAGAAATTTGTTTAATTTCATAAGATTTCTTTTTTGACATTTTTGAAAGATAACACTTCTCCAATTGATCAATTTCAATACATGTGATCAAGTCGGTGCACATACTTACTGGATTGAATGAACATCCAGGAAATCGATGATTATTCGGTTTAAATGCAATATATTGTGATAGTAGCCTGGTTAGTTGACGACATTTCATTGAGAAATTCACCAAGCTATTAGGCCAATGAGATAAATTTGAAGTATCTGAGACAAACATCTAAATGATGAGATGTGATGTGATGTGATAAAGTAAAACAAAAGGGTCAAATTACAACTGAAAGAAGAATCTATGCTAAAAAAAAAGGGTGGAATCTTTGACATAACTGAGCAACATTTTTGATAGCAAGTAAGGAGTATCTGATACACATGGAAAGACTTGGATTGGTAAAGCTAGGGCGGAATTCTTGCATTCGAAGATCACCTGCAACTCAAAACAACTATCAACTAACACCAAAGTCATAATTTTTTACACAATCGTCAAGATAGTTCTCTTGTATGTAGAGGAAACTTGAAGAACTACGAAATCTATCATTCAAAGGATACAGGTATGCATTAACAGTTGTCCATACAATAGACTACAGATCTGAAATCATCAATCAATCATTGTTAGACCACCATTAGAAACCTGGAAGCACTGGATGGCCGTTTCGTCCTGGTATGGGACTCATCAGTGGCAGTGCGAATCCACGACTTCTGCACCTGGCAGGATTCGAACCCAGGACCTTTGGCACTGTAGGCGAACGCCTTACCATCGGACCACTGGGCCGGCATCCAGCGGTGTTAATCCCTAGATCAATCAGAGTTAGACATTAACACCGCTGGATGCCGGCCCAGTGGTCCGATGGTAAGGCGTTCGCCTACAGTGCCAAAGGTTCCGGGTTCGAATCCTGCGAGGAGCAGGAGCCGTGGATGCGTAGTAGACCTATTACAAGAATAATTCCAGTAGATCTTGTGCGCAAACTTCATTATAGAGAATATCCAACTTTAAAAAACATTCTATTAAGCAGAATTAATTCACGGAAATGCTAACATATTGAAATCATGAATGATGCATTGTTAGACCAAGATTAGAAACCTGGAAGCACTGAAAGATGGCTGTTTCGTCCGGGTATAGGACTAATCATCGTCAGCAGTGTGCAAAACCAAAGGTGCCCGGGTTCGAATCCTGCCAGTAGCACGACTCCAACTTGGAATAAGGAACTCAGTATTTTAATGAGAATGTCAATAAATGCTTATGTTAGGATATTCATCCAATATCCTAAGAGAACTATTGCTGAATTCCTATCGGTTAATTCCTACTGGTCAATATCTTATGGTCATCCTAGATTTCAATGTCACCTACTTCAATGTTGTTTCTCATTGGTCGTCCTGATTATCAATGCCACTTCATATGTTTTTCCTATTGGTCATCTTAACTGTCAATGTTACAGACTTCAATGATGTTTACTATTCGACCAAAATGTATAAATACGCATTATCTGTAACGTTTTATGACCCGGACACGGATCCTTAGTCCAGAAAAATAGAAAAGAATACAAATTCTGCTTCATATCAAGTCTTCTTTTATTCAGAGGGGGTCAGTCAGTCAACGAAAACATAGAACTTCGTACCTACGTACATCAGTTCATGTTGCCATACCACATTAAAGCGCACAGAGATGCGATTGTCACTTCAAATCCCATAGTAGTAAAGGTAGTAGAAGTATTATCAGTAGTCGGAGAGATTAGGATTCGACGAGATCAAATCGGTCAGAATAAAATCACACCAAGACTATTGATGACAGTCAGTCAGTCAGTCAGATGCAACGTAGAACTTCGTACGTAAGTACATCAGTTCATGTTGCCATACCACATCAGCACAGAGATATAATTGTCAATTCAAATCCAATAGTAGGAGAGGTAGTAAAGGTATTAGAAGTAATCGGAGAGGTTAGGATTAGAAGATATTATTCAACAAGTATGATTCAGTGAGATAAGTTTAGAAAGACAAAACTAGAGGTGTCGAAGAATCCAGAAGATTAGGATTTATGAGAGGACACAAAGAATAAATGCACATGCGCCATTGCAAACGGTTTTGAGCCATGTCATTCAAGGTCTCTAACCATCGATTATTATCATCACGCGGACCCCAACCAAGTATTCAATGAGAGGTTGAGATAATCGGATTAGACTAGCATATGTCGTGTCGCTGGATCCTCCATCCTCACTCTCGTTTTCCGACTACGCTAAACTCACACTAGTTCAAGCATATCAAAATGACATTTTTACGTGCATGTTAGTGTTCTTTTTGTTTACATCAACTAACTTACTTGTAATTCTTTAAGATTTGCATTTTCTAATGCTATTTTCCATGATTCTGGTAAATTATCTAGAATTGATGTAACGACTATTGAATGTGATGAATCTTTTTGAAATTTGCATAAATCACCAATCCATTGAAAATTATATAACCAATTATATTGTAAGAGAAATATAAGTAAATTATCAATGAGTTCATTTAAATGATTGGTTAACATATTATCTTGATAGATAGGTACATATATATGTATATGGATGTATATAACTGAAAATGAAAAGAAAATCGATAGATAGAAATAAATTAACTAATCGATACAGAATTTGAATAGATTTATGCGAATCATACACTTACTATGGGTTTTGGTTTTAGAACATCATTGAAAAACCTGTACTGTGGTGCGTACTACTTATAAGTAGTATATGACCCGAGTGTAAACGTAATGTCTGGTGACAGAAGAAGATGGGGGAAGATCAAGAGAAAGGAAGTAGAGTGGGAACACAATGGAATTTGTGTATGAAACGCATGAATAGTGGTGAAATGTCAGACAATGGATTGATGATGGATTGAAGATTTGCAAATTAACGGTTTACGCGATATGGTTTTCCTATTTTACTGAGTAACTCTGTAATTTTCGTTAAATACAATTCGGTTGCCCTCACCTGTGTTCTCCTTCACTACAGTACGACTCTTTCAACCTAGTATGAAGCTCCTGAACAGTGCACATACACAGGAACTTCAGTCTTGTGTATGAATATGCCTGATCTCTAGACTAGTGAACCAGTATCTTATAGTGTATAGTTTGAATTTCATTCATATCAAGTGAAAAACCCCCCAACAATTCGATAGAGGTTCTAACAGACAGACAGATACAATGCAGAACTTCAGACGTACTAACGTACATCAGTTCACGTTGCCATACCACATCAGCACAGAGACCCAACTGTCAGTGGTAGCGATAATTGGAAGTATTAGCAATAATGGAGAAGATCACGGTTTGAAGATATGATTCGAGAACTATAATTCAGTGAGACGAAGTTAGAAACAGAAAGATAGAGATGATGAAGAATTCAGAAAGTTAGAATTTGAGAGAACACAAAGAGTGGATGCACCTGTGCCATTGCAAACGATTCTGAGCCATGTTATTCAAGGTCTCGAACCAACCGTGACTTTAGTTTAGCGGACCCGAACCAGGTAGTCTACATCTATCAACATGACTCAGTCCACTTGTCAGTGAGTTCATTGATTTGTGTCATGTTTTGGTTTTTGGCCGCCCCTAGCTTTCTTCCAACCTATTCCTAAACCACAAAACAACGCTCGTCGAAGCAGTCGGTGGTTAGGCATACATAAAACATGTCCCAAACACAACAGAGGTTCTGCTATTAATTGAATTGATTGAAGCAAGACATTTACGCCATCCGATGGCAAATCAATGGTCTGAAGGTTAAGTAATCCTGTATACCAAACTTAAGGTTCTGGATTACATTCTCCGTAGTGAGATCGTGTGTACAGACTGCTAAATAATTTGAAGGCATTCTAGTTCTGAATAGTATTCTAACTAAGAACAGTTCGTGATTTGATTTATGAAAATCGAAAATTATCAACATTGTTAATTCAATTCAATGAAACAGAACAAAAAATCATCAAATTCCCAATTTATTAGTTATGAATTTTTTCTCTTGATGATGAGACTCATCAACGGTGCGCAGCCACAACTCCTGCTACCCGCATAATTCGAGCCCAGGACCCCCAATCAATCCACAGTCTTATGTGACGCGTTCGCGCGCACCATTGAAGGTCGTAGGTTCGAATCGCGCATGTAACAGGAGTCGTGGATGCGCACTGTTGATGAGTCCCATAATAGGACGAAACGGCTGTCCAGTGGTCCCTGGTTTCTTTTTAAATGGTGCTCTAACATTGATCGATTCATGATTTCAATAGAATAACTTAACAATCTGCACAACCCTTTCATGGAAATCAGTAAGTATATAAATAAATTTAGTTTCAACTACGACTGTTGTTATATTTTGAAGGGAACCTAACGTTAACATTTTTGTAACCCGCCTATGGTGTTCCTACTTCACGTTGTAGGAACGGTAATGATATTCATTAACAGATACAGATTAAGAAGTCTCTGATAACCAAATTGATCTTAATAAAAAGTAGAAAAGTTTAATGGATATTTGATAATAAGTGAAAGACAAATAATAATGATAATAATTTCTGATTAATTCGAAATAATCATTCAACTTATAGGCAATTGAACATTTGTTTGAATTTCATTGTTGTTTTTTTTTAAGTCAACAAATTAGTACTACTACTTTTTTAATTAAGTAGTTTGGCTTCATTTAAAAGTTATCAATCATTGGTATTGATCCTATTACAATGAAGTAAAAAAATAAATAATTGATTAAGAACATATTTTTATTCCAATTAAAATGTTCACTTGCTCAGCAAATTTAAACAAAGTGTAATAACTTGTTTCACTTTACAATTCTCTAGTTAGTATAGATATACTTGTTAGACGGCTTACAACATGTTCAAAAATCAATAAAAATTTATGTTCACTTTTCAATCAATAGGTGAGATACCAGTTTAAACATGAACAATTGAAGTTTCACTTTACAGAAGAATTTCAATCGGACAACTATTGAAAACTATTAGCAAATGCATTAATTTCCAGTAATGATAGGTTATTAATTAGAGGTTGAAATGAAATCATAAATCAACCACAGAAAACCTGGATGACACTCTCAATCTATTGTAATACTCCTCAACAGTGAACATACACAACTACGCACGCAAGAACCAAACCCAGGACAGCATGTCTCACGTGTGAACACTTGACCTTTGTACCACGAAGTCAACATCCAACGGTGTTAATGTCTAAATTCAACCAATCTACAGCATAATGCAACCATAGTTCACTATCATCGGTGAGAAATTGCCTCAAGTAGATCATGGCTTCTCACCAGAACTGCGAAAAAACTTCCTCTTGAAGCTTAAAGCTAGTCAGACAGCATACTAATCAGTAGCTCAATCCTTGAACATATAGAAAACTAGGGTCACGAGCCACTGAGTGGATAGTCTTTCTATATCATTTTTAAGACAAAAAAAACTGGTCCCAGTAACATTTGGGTGCGGAACTTGCACACAGCTAAGGATTTAGTAATTCGCTATCTTCAATCCGACTTCCGTATAAAGAAGAGTCATGTTGAACTCTTTACTCTCCCATGTTCATAGTGCCAGTTTAGATTTGTACAAATTATTAGCGCTAACTATTACCTACGTCTTCTCTTCCTTTACAAGAGATAATTAATGTTAGGTTTTTTATTGTCTAAACTTTTACCTCTTATTGCTTCTAAAACTACTACACAATGTTACCTGTTAACAGTCTTTGATTACCTAGCTAAATGAAGTAACCGCTCTTCAATCAATATTTGAGAACTTTTATTACATCGGAATAATACCTTTCCATTTATAAGTCATAACTATACTCACAACTCGGAATGTTTATGATAATCTTGACTATTATCAAGCATATCCAGTATAAGTTTAACTATCGTTGGTAAATCCTTTTTTATAAAAAAAAACTCCTTTATTATAGACTATAGTGCGTGACATAACTCGTCCTGGAGCCTTTCTGGGGTTACTGCCAGTCCCAAGACCGAATAAAGGACAAGGGTTAAGCATAGGGTTAGCGACCCTATCCCGTAGAAATACAACTCGCTGAAAAACAATAACGCTAACCAATAAAATAATAAATAATTCACTAGTCGGCGACCTATGCTCCATTAGGAGTAACAGGAGTAGGTAAGTAGTCAGTCATTTGCAACGTAGAACTTAGTACGAACGTGCGTCAATTCAGGTTGCCATGCCCCATCAGCACAAAGACGCCATCGTCAGTTCAAATCCGATAGTGGTGGAGATAGTTGAAGAATTACTGGTAATGGAGAATATTAGGGATCGAGGGTTTTATTCAAGAAGTGTAGTTCAGTGAGAAAGATATAGATAATAAGGAATTCTGAAGATTAGAATTTGAGAGAAAACTATGAATTGATGCACCCGCTCCACTGCAAACGGTTTTGAGCCATGTCATTAAAGGTCTCTAACCATCCGTGACTTTCACCTCGCGGACCCCAACCAGGTAGTCTACATCTACCAACATGACTCAGTTCACTTGTCAGTGACTTCATGGATTTGTGCCATGTTTTGGTCTGGCCATCCCTTACTTTCTTCTAGCCTAAACCTACACTACAAAACAAAGCTCGTCGAGGCAGTCGGTGGTTAGGCATACGCAACACATGTCCCAACCACCTCAACTGATGAAGTTTCACCACTTCATCTATTGATTTTCCATCCCTACCTCGAACTCGTTTCCTAACGACAGTATTGCCTACTCCGTTGTCCCACGATATAGGAGCAATGCTTCGAAGACATCTATAATCCAATACTAATAACCTACGAATGTCTTCTACTCTTACCGGCCATGTTTCGCATCCATATAGTTGGACGGAGCGAACTGCTACACAGTACACTCGTCAACAAACGGATAACTCGCCTACGCCATAAGTGACACAAGTTGGCGAAATTCAATCGAGCGTTTTGTATCCGTGCTGAGATTTTGTCAGTCACCAGATCATCGGAATTGATGAAACTCCCAAGATAAGTGAAGTGGTCGGCACTCCTGACTACTTTACTCTCTATCACTAGTTCAGGTGCCGACACAACATGATATTGAAGCAACATTTTGCATTTCGGCGGGGGAAAACCGCATCCCGAACATGCTTGCATTGTTGCTTAGGGTAGTCAGAAGACTCTGCAGTTTGTCAACATCTTCACCAAGTAGAACTATGTCATCAGCATACTCTAAGTCAGCAAGTAAGTACATGAAAAACCTTCATCATAGACAATGGTGCGTGACATAACTCCGCCTGGAGCCCTTCTATGATTACTGCCGATCCCAATCCCCGGGTTAAGGACAAGGGTTAGGCATAGCGTTGGCGACCCTATCCCGTAGAAATACAATTGGCTGAAAAACAAAAACGCTAACCAGTAAAATAATAAATAATTCACTAGTCGGCGACCTGTGCTCCATCAGGAGTAACAAAAGTAGGTAAATAAGTAAATGAGTAAGTACATGAAAATTACTCATTACAACTCCATCGAATTGATATCGTCAACAGAGTGATGAATTTTCTTCGCCCGACTTTTTTCATC